ACATCAACTGAGCCTATTCCAATTAGACACTTCAGTTGAGGTGTACTACCTGGTTAACTTAAAGGGGTCGTTTATGTATTTTACCAATTTAACAATTTGATTAAAATGATAAAAAAATATAGACTAGTAAAAACAAATTCAAAAATTAGTAGGGATAAATATATTCATCGGGATGACAATTTATTTAAGCCTCTACCTGCAGAAGAATATCATAAATTATTTTATGGCGAAAAAGTGGTGGAAGGTGACGGAGAAAAGGAGGGAAAAATTTTGAAAAAATAAAATAGAAAATACACATGTCGGATCTGGGTAGGCACGTGTATTTTACCACTTACTCCAAAAAGTTAGGCATGCATAACTACAGAAACACAATTCACGGCTTACAACTAGAAATAACTATTTCACCAGTTGCATGGGACACATTCGAGCATCATAATAATAGAGGCACTATTATGAACTAGACATATATTTAGGGATGGTAATTTGAGTTTAAATCCATTTGAACTGCCCAACCCGTTCACAATTGGGCCGATCGTTGACCTGTTCGTTTGTTGAACTCAACCTATCTTGATCCAACTCATCTCAACCCATCTAAAGTTGAGCTGATTTTTAGCCCAAATAGACTCATGAGTAACTTTACTAAAATTTCTTTAAAGAGGAATTTTCATAAAACACTATAGTTTAAAGCCTAGTAACTATAGTTTGCCTAATTACTATTCATAGCTACTGTTCAATTGTTACTAGCTTGTAGCACTTGTATTCAAACACGCAACGAATACAATCTTTGTCAACTGTATTCGTTCGCGCAACGAATACGACATGTATCAACTGTATTCGTTCGCGTTATTAATACAACATGTATCAGCTGTAACCAATGCGAAATATAAGGGTGTATACAAATGATACAACCTGTATCGACTATATTACATAGGTGTATAGAAAGATACAACTTGTATCGACTGTATCGTTCGAATACAATTAAGGTGAATGTCATGACCCAATTCAGATTATAGGCCGTGATGGCTCCCAACGTCGACGCTAAGTAAGTCAACGGTGAACTATCCATGTAATTGTTTATTTTAATATTTTTAAAGTCATTATTTTTATTTAATAAGAGAACAATTAATAGGTGATCGTAATAATGTAAAGTATGAAAAAAACGAAAGAGTGAAGTAGTAAATTTAATAATCAAAACCCATGAAATATCTACTAGAATCTCCCAAATCCTGACGTTACAAGTGCACGAGCAAACTAGTAGAATATACAAAGCATCCTATACTACTGTCTGGACTAAGATAGATAAAAAAATAAATACAACAAAGAAGAGACTTCGGATGCTGCAGAATGGGGCATAGGGAACAACTCACTACTAAGTCTCTCAAAATAGTCAAAATAAATGATAGGTGATATTATAAAATATTTGACTGAAAATTTAAATACAATAATTATCTGTAATTACATATAGCGCATACACATTATACAATTATGAACAACACAGAATGCCTTCATTATATGAACCTTATAATATTCAAATTTACCAGAAAATCATACTAATTACTTTTAAGAAATGATCATATACTTCTGGAAAATGAATGAATTAAACATAAGAACAATATCATATCATGGTTATAGAATTTTTTCAAAGCTTCATAAATAAGAAAGAAAAGGAGAATTTGCCGTACTACCACTGCTTCAATGGGACAAATAATACATTAGAGATTGCACAATTTTTAGATGGATCGGACTTGCTTTCTCATTCCCAGGAAGAAGAGTATATATACATGAGTTTAAGCTCATACTCCCTAAAATCTCTCCTAAGAATATTCTAATAATATCATATTCCTATAATATATCATATAGTATCACATCTCTAACAAATATAGATATACAATATATAAATACTATATTTACACATTTGCAGATCTTGATTCACAAAAGAAAATCCAACAACAATGAAGCACGAAGAAAAATCAATAAGATCTACAATTTTTTTTAATAGTATCATAATGCTTCTTTCAATCAAACTCGAGTTTTGAATCTCAATTCAAAAAAAAGATTATCTTCCAATTCAAGATTTAAGATTTCAATTCAAAAACTTTATCCTTCAATTTAAATTTTTTTTTTATCTCAATTTAAATATATTTTAATCTAAATTCAATATTTTTATTATAATGTTTATTAACTTTTACTTTAACTTTTTCTTATCACACCACTTGACGTGGTTGATTACCTTGTTATTCTTAATTAATTATCTGAGTAATTTATTTATCTCTATTTTTCATTAAGGATAATAGTCTAAAAGATATGTAAGAGATATGGTAGTTTAAGAGTCTTTTTTCTTTAAAAATCATTTTTTAAAACATTTGCAAGATTCATTTCAATAAATTTAAACCTCATCATATAAAGTCTGCATTGACAAACATTTGAAATTCAATAATTTAATTACATCACATGTTTCTAAAAAAAATGTTTTTAGCTCTAAAGTAAAATTTATAACAAATATTTTTCAATAGTAATAGTAAGGGATCGTTGGATATGAACTATCGATTTTGTAATATACAAAATATTTATTTAAATATTTTGTTCTAAAAAAGGAACACCCACCATAACTGAATTACTCACAAATTTAATTAAAGATACCTATAGAAAATCTCGGACTACTACTTTCATTAAATATTTTTCCATTTATAATCCAAATTTTTTATGTTGTCTTAAAATTGCCAAGTGGCTTCATTTTAGCTTGCGACTTGGCTTAACCACATTGCAAACTACCTCCTTTTAATATAATATAGATATATAGATAGATTTAAAAAATTTATCTATAAATTCAAAACTATTCTTAATTCAAATTAATATTATTAGTTATATTATGTATATATAATATTTATTTTATATCTATATTATATTATAAATATATATTATATAATATATATATATATATATATATATATATATTATATATAGTATATATATTATATATATATATATATATATATATATAGCATAAAGTTACCATATACTATTTGCATTTATTAGCTTGCCACTTGACTTAACCACAATACAATTATATATGGTAATTTTCTTGCTTTAATATATACATATAGATTAAAGGCTTAACCGGTGGACGATAAAAGGAAAATAAAACAAAAAAGACCTCTTTCATTATACTATCATATTATTAATATTATTAGGTATACTCTTTTATGAAAAAACTTTTTTTACTGAGAATCTTGTAGTTTAAGATCCAAGTGAAAATTAAAGGGCGAGCAATCTCTATCGAAATTAAAAGGGTTAACCTACTTTGGTAATTAAAAAAGAAAAAGCAACCCACGGTGAAAGAATGCATTAAGATCTATGCATATTCAACGCAACAAACAAGATGAGAAAAGCAATTACACTAAAATATCTTTATATTTTTTAGCACAAAGTGTATGTTTTCTTCTTCACCGTAGAATGGATCATAAGAAATAAGATTTTCAACCAAAAAAAATTTTTATTATCAAAGAGCAGAACAAGAAAATCGTTGATCTTGAGAGATCTTTTCTTTCTTTTCTTTTTTTTTTTTCCTTTTATCGTCCCCCAGTTAAGCCTCTAATTAGGAAAAAGAATAGACTCAAATATCCTTTTTTAGTTTATGTTTTAAAATAAGTAAGTAGGAACATGAGTCCACTTGTCAAGAAACAAACTAGACTCACATAAGTAATGTTGGTTATGTGACTAACATAGAAAAATTTCTCATCGGATAGAGGTAAGGTCTGCGTAAACACTACCCTCGACAAACTTCATCTGTGGAATTATACTAGATTTGTAGTTGTTGTTGTTATTTTTATTATTGAGCTGAGCACAGTTCAGTGGTGTACACCAAAATTTTCATGTAATTGTATTATAGGTTATTGATGCGCATAAAAAGGATTCTTAAAATAGAATGCATTGCAATTGTTAAGAACTCTAATTATTCCACTTAGTTAGTTAGTTAGTTTGTTAGTGATGACAGCTGTACACTGTTGTATAATTAGCTTAGCAGTAGTTAATTGTCTTAGCTCAGCTTAGTCCTAGCTTTGTATATAGTAGTGGAGACTCCACTCACTTTTATATTTTTTTCAGTTGATTCAATTACATAATTCTGGAATCTTCTCTCGACCTCTCTTTTCCCTCTTCCTCTCTCTCTCTCTCTCTGAACCGTCATGGCATGAAGGAAATAGCTTCACCACCATGGAAGCTCAACTTTAGCTAACAGTAGGACCTCAATTACTGTTCCATTGACCAATTCTAATATGGTATCAGAGCGAGGAGCTTCGATTTTGGATTCGATTCACGAAATCTGTCAGTTCTCCCTTTGTTGATGATGTTTCGAACTGAATTGCACATTTGCAGATTCACTTCTCCATAGATCTCGAGTTGTAGCTTGAGGACAGGTTTTGTTCTTACTTCTAATTCACAATTGTCTGAGAGTCATTGTTGAATTCCATTCATCTTACATTTTAGCTATCGAAATTCCTTAGATTTCTCTGTAAATCACAAATATGACATCTGGTGAGAACGATAATCTAGTAGCACCAACTGTAAATGAACCTCCGAGTCTGTCAGGCATTGACATTAGTAATCCTCTATACATGCATCCATCTGATAATCCTGGGGCAACTTTAGTTCCTGCTCTTTTTGATGGCTTTGATTATCGGTCATGGAGAAGAGGTGTGATGCGAGCATTATCTGTGAAGAATAAATTGGGATTCATTAACGGAGAGTGTAAAAGACCAGATCTAGATTCTCCAAATTTTCGCTTATGGGAAAGGTGTAATGACATGGTCACATCATGGATTTTAAACTCTTTGACCAAAGAAATTGCAGATAGTGTTGAGTACGTAGCTGATGCACTTGAATTGTGAAGAGAACTTGAGGATCGATATGACCAAACAAATGGGACAAAATTGTACCAAATTCAGAAGGAGATTAATGATCTATCTCAAGGATCACTTGACATTACCAGTTACTATACGAAAATGAAGAAGCTATGGGAGGAGCTCAATACTTTGATTGCTAAATCTCACTGTACCTGCAACTGTTCGTGTGGGGCTAAGGAGAGTATGCATAAGGCAGAACATGATAGGAGGCTCATACAATTCCTTATGGGATTAAATGAGACATATACTGTTGTTCAAGGCAGCATATTGATGATGAATCCTCTTCCCTCAATTGCTCAAGCCTTTTCTTTGTTAATCCAAGAAGAAAGGCAGAGGGAAATCAAGCCTACTGACCATCTGATACTGGAATCATCAGCTTTGAATGCCAACACAGCCAGACCTAGCACATTCAGGACAAATTACTCTCTCAACAACAACCATAACAACAAAAATAGACCCTTTTGTGACTACTGTAAGAGGCCAGGACACACTAAGGAAAAATGTTACAAACTTCATGGGTATCCACAAAGTTTTGGACAGAACCTTGGCCACAATCAGAATCCAAATGCAGGTCAAAGCAGTTTCAATCAAAACACAAGGCAAGGTTCCAACTATAACTACAACTACAACTCAAACAACAATAACGCCAACATATTCAATAAAGGCAATAGAACACTAGCCAATGCACATGTGGCAACAATTTCAGTCATCTGGAATAGGAGAACATGGAGGTGGTGTCAATGCTACTTCAGGGACAGCAAACTTTGCAGGTATGATAGTCTGTACTTCCTCAATTGATTTTGGCAAACTTTCATGTGAATGTTTCAAGAACAAAGCTGACTCATGGATTATAGATTCAAGGGCATCAAATAATATGACCTTCAACAGATCCTTATTAACCAATATAATTAACTTACCTTATCCCTTGCTAGTCATACTTCCAAATGGCTATAAAGTAAAGGTGACAGAAATAGGTAGTGTAATTCTCAATTCCAAGATCACTCTAGATAAAGTGATGTATGTTCCAACTTTCAGATACAACCTAATCTCTGTTCACTCTTTAACATCTCATCTAAGTTGTATTGTTGCCTTCTTCAACCTCTGTTGTGTGTTGCAGGCCCCTTCAATGAAGAGGCCTCTGGTGATTGGTAGAGTGAAGGATGGGCTATACATCCTGTGCCCAAGTTGCCTAAGGAAAAACAATGCAAGTCTTGCAGAAAAGGACAACTCTAAACTTCCTGTCATTTCTACTTGCTGCACTTGTGACATACACTGTCCCACTCATTCCATTGTAAATGTACCAGTCCACACCAATAAGTGTGTCCCCTTTCCCTCTCACATTGTAAATGATTCATGTGCAAGTGCTAGTAAACATGTTCCTCTTGAAGATCTGTCTTCTGAATTACCTAGTTTTTTCTCTCACTCTTGGTCTGAAAATAATGTGAATGTGCTGTGGCATAACAGGCTTGGACATGTTCCCTTTGTGAAAATGAAAAGGATTACCTCCATACCTGTTAACTTCTCCCCTAAACAACCCTTTACTTGCACCATTTGTCCAATGGCTAGACAAGAAAGATTACCCTTCCCTCAGAAAACCAGTACATCTAATAGAATATTTGAGCTTTTACATGTTGATCTATGGGGTCCATATCATGTTCCTACACATGATAAACATAAGTACTTTATCACCATAGTGGATGACTATAGTAGATCTACATGGACACATCTCTTGTCCAGTAAAAGTAATGCCATTGATGTTCTGAAGAACTTCATGTCTTTGATAGAAAATCAGTTTGCTATTAACATCAAGTCCATAAGATCAGACAATGGACTAGAGTTTACCAGTGGAGAAGCAACCAAGTTATTCCAATCCAAAGGAATCATCCATCAAAGAACTTGTCCATATACACCACAACAGAATGGTGTAGTGGAAAGAAAGCATAAATACCTCCTTGAAACAGCTAGAGCCCTCCTTTTCCAGTCCAAATTACCTCTAAGATTTTGGGATGAATGTGTCCTTTGTGCTACATATATAATAAACAGATTGCCATCCAATTCCATCAACAATAAAACACCATATGAGTTAATATATAAAAGGAAACCAAAATACTCCCATCTCAAGAGCTTTGGCTGCCTATGCTATCCCAATGTACCAATACCACATAGGGACAAGTTTAGTCCCAGAACTGCACCTCATGTTTTTGTTGGGTATCCTTTCAACACAAAGGGATACAAAGTTCTAAACTTGGCCACTAGAAAAATTTACATTTCCAGAGATGTAGTGTTTAATGAATCTATCTTTCCCTTTAACTGTAGTATGAACAAATCTTCCAAGTCACCTATTTTTTATCCAGTTCCTTTCATTGATTCTCTTGATGAACAACTTTCTAAGAACACAGGAAACATACAAACCACTGAAACCTTGAATGATTAAGGAAATGTGGATAACACACCTGTTCCTATGTCACCTATACATACAGCCAGTCCATTATCCCCTGGAAGATCTAGTCCTTCACCACATTATACACCATCAGAACACAACATTGAACAAACAACTACAGAGCAAATCCACCCAACTAGACAGTCACACAGAACTCATAAACTCCCCACATATCTACACGATTATGTCCACTCCTTACCTCAACTCAAGAATAACTCCCCTTCTCTAAATGCTTTGTTTTCTATAAACCATCACATTGCCTCTGATCTACTAACTCCTGATAGTCAGGCTCTTGTGAGAAATGTTTGTCATGACAGGGAACCATCATCATATGAGGAGGCAACTATTGATCCTGCATGGCAAGCTGCAATGACACAGGAATTTGATGCATTACATTCAAATCATACATGGGATTTAGTGATGCTGCCACCTGGGAAGCAAGAAATTGGCTGTAGATGGGTATACAAAGTGAAACACAAAGCAGATGGTAGCATTGAGAGATTCAAAGCTAGATTGGTTGTTAAAGGGTACACTCAACAGGCAGGAATAGATTATACAGAAACTTTCTCACCAGTTGTAAAGATGACAACAGTCAGAGCTTTAATAGCTACAGCAGTCAAGAAGGGATGGCTTATTTCACAGCTGGATGTAAATAGTGCCTTCTTGCATGGAGATCTCAATGAGGAGGTATATATGCAGGTGCCACCTGGGTTAGTAATAGAGAAGCCAGGCCTAGTCTGCAAATTGAATAAGTCTCTTTATGCTTTAAAGCAGGCAAGTAGACAATGGTATGCAAAGTTGACTGAGGCACTTTACTCAAGAGGATACACACACTCCATGTATGATTATTCACTTTTCTATAAGAGGAATGGAAGTGATTCAGTGTATATTGTTGTATATGTGGATGATGTGCTATTAACTGGGAATGATGAACAAGAGATTGCTAAGCTCAAGAGTTTCCTGCATGAGCAGTTTAAAATCAAGGATCTGGGACAGCTTCACTATTTCCTGGGACTAGAGGTTATGTATAAGGAAGATGGGATCATTATATCACAGAGGAAGTTTGTATTGAATCTACTAAAGGAGTATGATTGCCTGGAACACAAGACCTGTTCTTCACCATTGGATCCAAATGTAAAACTAAAGGCCAAGGAGGGAGCAGTATTGCAGGATCCTACTTATTATAGGAAGCTAGTAGGGAAACTAAATTTCTTGACCAATACTAGACTGGACATAGCCTATGGTGTTCAGCACTTAAGCCAGTTTATGCAGGAGCCCAGGGAGCCCCATTTGAAAGCAGCATTTCATTTGCTAAGGTAACTAAAGAATGATCCTACACCGGGAATTTTTATGTCAAAGGATGGAGATCACACAGTTAGAGCTTATTGTGACTCTGATTGGGCTGCTTGTCCAGACTCTAGGAGGTCCATCAGTGGTTATTTAGTCTTGCTGGGCAATAGCCCCATCAGCTGGAAGTATAAGAAGAAAGAGACCATCTCACTGTCTTCTGCAGAGGCAGAGTATAGAGCCTTGAGAAAAGTTGTAGGAGAGTTAGTGTGGCTACGCAGATTATTTGAAGAACTGACTGTTCCTTTTTCTCTACCTACCTCAGTTTACTGCGACAGTCAGTCTGCATTACACATTGCCAGGAATCCAGTATTTCACGAGAGGACCAAACATATAGAGGTCGACTGCCATTTCGTACGTGATCAACTTCAAGCAGGCTTGATCTCTCTTTGGTATATCAGAACTGATGATCAACTCGCAGATGTTTTGACTAAGGCCTTGACAGGGATTAAACATAGTACTGCATTGAGCAAGTTGTCAGTGTTTGCTACACCTCCAACTTGAGGGGGGGTGTTAAGAACTCTAATTATTTCACTTAGTTAGTTAGTTAGTTTGTTAGTGATGACAGTTGTACACTGCTGTACAATTAGCTTAGCGGTAGTTAATTGTCTTAGCTCAGCTTAGTCCTAGCTTTGTATATAGTAGTGGAGACTCCACTCACTTTTATATTTTTTTCAGTTGATTCAATTACATAATTCTGGAATCTTCTCTCGACCTCTCTTTTCCCTCTTCCTCTCTCTCTCTCTCTGAAATCTCATGGCATGAAGGACATAGCTTCACCACCATGGAAGCTCAACTTCAGCTAACAGTAGGACCTCAATTACTGTTCCATTGACCAATTCTAATAGCAATTACACCACTAATACAAACATCTATTGCTAGTCTTAATCATATACTATTGTTAGTTGCCTTTAGTAACCATCTTTTGGTTAATAATCATTTTGCTATTTTTGAAGATGTTTGAATTATTGGAGAGCACAATGACAAAGAAGAGAAAACAAACACTAAGCCAGAAAAAGAAAAAGAAAACTGAAAAGGCATACTATAATATCAAATACTAATAGCCATGGCATTGCTTTACCGACTGAAAATGGGGTCTGGTTTAGCACTTTCCTTATCAGACAAATAACTCACAATTATATGTATATGTATTCCTATTTTGTGATATTGACAATTCAACATTTTGTGAAAGCATGTAGTACTATTGATGTTTTGACAGGTCTAAAATAAGAGATATCACACATAAGCAACTCAAGATATTATTTTGTTAACCAATAGATTGCTAATTAAGTCGCGCCACATAAGGTTCATATAACAGTAAAATGCTTCAAAGGGCAGCCCGAATCTCCTGCTATGCACGGGGTTCGGGAAATGGCCGGACCACAAGGGTCTATTGTACGCAGCCGTACTCTGCATTTCTATAAGAGACTATTTCCATGGCTTTGACACGACCCGGAATTCCCACCTTCGAGACTGTGATGGTGCCTAACATTTCACTTGCTAGGCAAGTCAACGTTAGAGGATCTTTAAGCTAATTTCAATCAATTTCAATAAATAAAATTAATAAAGCCGAAATGAAACTACAACTGAATGCGGAATGACACATAAACCAATAATATCTAAGTACAACCCGGATCTGGAGTCACAATTCACGAGCTTCTAGAGTTTCTACATACATAGTCTGAAATAAAACAACTGTCTCGAATGATAAGAATAGTAAATAAGGGTAAAGTGTAAGGGGACTTCAAGGTCTGCGGACGCCAGCAGATCTGCATCGAGTCCCCAAAACAAATCCGAGCTGAAACGCCTCACGGACAGCTGGGACCAGTACCAAAATCTGCCCAAGAAGTTTAGAGTGTAGTATGAGTACAACCGACCCAATGTACTCTGGAAGTATCGAGCCTAACCTCGACGAGGTAGTGGCGAGGCTATGACAGAACACCCACATAAATAAACCTGCGTAGATAATAATATACGTACAACATAACAACAATAAAGTCTAAACATGTACTGCTGGGAGGGGACATGCGAAAGGGGTACAAGATACGATAAGTACAGCAAGGAATGATAACAAGAAACAATCAATAAGCCTTTAACCAGTAAATGAATAAACATAATAAATAAAACTGCAGGGTATCACCCTTCGTACTTTTACTCTCAACCTCACTATGAAACAATAATAACGATCCAGCATCACCCTTCGTGCATTTACTCTCAGTTTCATCATAAATCAATAGATGCGGCACGCCATCACCCTTCGTGCATTAACTTTCAAATATGTCACGGCGTCACCCTTTATGCATTAACCCTCAAATATGGCACAGCATCAGCCTTCGTGCATTAACTCTCAAATATTGTACGTCATCACCCTTCGTGCCTTAACACTCTCCCTTACCATATAACAATGAACATATAACAATAGGGAGATGAAATAAACAAGGAAAAACTATACGTCAACAATGGTTCCACAAAATCAATCTCAACGTCCGAAGAATACTCAATTATCATAGACTGTCCATAAATGCGGAAAGAACAATCATTTTTGTAAATAAACTAGTCTAAGCATGGATGTCATGATCAAAGAAAGCAATATATTACAAGAAACAAGTCCCACCCGCATACTTTAACGCAACAACAACGCATGAGTACTCGTCATCTCACATATACATTGTACCCAACATCTAAACATGTAGAAAATAGGTAAACAAGTCATAATCCCACAAGTCAAGATTAACCACGATACTTACCTCGTACTAAAGATTAACTCAACGCTTAACCACTACTTTACCTTTCAAACAAACCTCCAAACAACCCAAATCTAGCAAATTATCAACCAAACGATTCAAAATAAGTCTTAGGAACTACCCACGAATGAAAAAGTTTCAATTAGGTCATTATTGAAAGAGTCAACAAAAGTCAACTCCTGGGCTCGCTTGGTCCAAATCAAGAATTTGGACCAAAACCCGATTACCCATTCACCCCCGAGCCCGGTTATGTAATTTATTTTGAATTCCGGCCTCAATTTGAGGACTAAATTCAAATTTTACAAAAATTCCTAATTCTACCCAAACCCCCAAATTCCACCATGAAAATACTAGATTTTAGGTTGAAATCTTATGAAATATAATGGAAGATTGAAAGAAAATAGGTTAGAATCATTTACCAATGAATTGGGGAAGAAGGGTTCTTGGAAAAGTCGCCTTTAGGGTTTCTAGGTTTTAAAATTTGAGAGAATGAACCAAAATCCCATCTAACTTAGCTTTTGACAAGTTGCAGATGTCGCAATTGCGAACCACGCTAATGCGAGAAACCCATCGCAATTGCGAAGGTCCCCCATTTAAGCTATCATCGCATTTGCGATGATTTGTTCGCAAATATGAACTGTGGTCTTTCGCAATTGCGACCCCTTTGACGGCAAATGCAAACCCTGGCTGACCCACCCTTCTTTGTAAATGCAAACATTACCTTCGCAATTGCAACACAAGACGAAAAATAAAATCTTCGCAATTGTGAACACTGACCTCGCAATTGCGAGGCCAGAGACCTGTACCATAACTAAAGCACACCAGCATTGTTTCCAAGTCCAAATTCGCTCTATAGCCTATCCGAAACTCACCCGAGCCCTCGGGGCTCCAAACAAAACATGC